TTTTAAACTCCTTATTGTAAATAGACCCAAGGTTGTTATGTTTTTTAAATTTATATAATTAGCACCATCTCCTGTTGAGTTGATTTTGACTTAATCTCATGTGTGCCAGAATAAAACTCTTGTAGGATTTTTCAGCAGCTGATTTTTCAAAATTATATTGACCAGGCCTTTAACCCAGACATCGCTTGGTGGGCTTGCCGTCAGTCTTCCCATTAGCCACAAGTATGTTAATCTTGTAACCACCCAGGAACTACAGCTGAACAATCTTGTTTTATTTTCATGAGGCAAAGTTTATATTTCAGCCTTGCAGCATAATGAGTAGAGCAGTTGTGAAGTGGGAGGAGCTCTGGTGGGATAGCCCCTAGTGAGTTGTGTTGCTAACCCAAAGAGGACACTTCTCTGGCAGTTGAAATATACCATCAGCACTGTGGGAGAAAGATGGACAGTGTCATCCTACTGTGATCCACAACATAACAGTAGAAAGTGTAACATGAAGCTCACTGAGATAATTGCGTTGTTGCTCACTTTCTTCCTCCCAGTCAAATTACATGAAACTTCCTGTGATTTAAATACCTGTAAGATGTGTATGTAAGTACTGGCTACTGACAGAGGTCTGGTGGCATTGTTATTATGTTCTCACTTGCTAACCCAAAGGTTAAAGGTGTGAACTCAACTCCCTACTTTGCCAGGGAAAGATGTGGTCTGTTTTTGTAAAGATGCACAGTCAGTAAGTCAGTTCTCCCTTGTCCTGTTGGATTTCTCTGAGTCAGAATTTATTTGATGGCTGTGGATTTGATGAGGTTTATGGTCTGCTACCTACAGGATAATGGTTGAGGTGTCTGGATTTTTGTAACTCAGATAATTCATGAAATAGCCAGTCCCAAATTTCAGGTTGTTTTCTTGGCCTTAGTGGCTTGAATAGAAAATCTGTTCATTATCCCTTGTGCCTAGGAAAATGTTGAATGGAGTGATAGAACAGTGATAGAACTGACCAAGCACTTTAATTCTCTAGGATAAGAAGTCCACGTATATACACTTGCTTTCTCTTTTGTGTGTTAATACTGTTTGTAATAGGAAAAAAAGTACAAACAGTATTAACACACAAAAGAGAAATCACGCGTATATATGTGGACTTCTTATCCTAGAGAATTAAAGTCCTTGGTCAGTTCTATCACTGTCCTATATTGGTATTTAATGTCCCCAGCCATACTAATCCAGAATAAAAGAGCACCTTAGAGGCATAATGGTTAAAGCGTTAGTACTAACCAAAAGTTGATAGTCTAAGCCCACTAACTTCTCTGCAAGGGAAAGATTTATAGTCTTAAAAAATTCTATGGGGCAGTCCTACTCTCTCCTTGAGGGTCACAGTGAATTGGAATTAACTTGACAACATGAGATGGTTTTGATTGGCTTTAAAAAAAGAATAGTAGTTCTTGGGTTTGTTTGGTTTTACATTTCCATGAGTTTCCATCAGACATGTATCAAGGAACAATATTTGGGGGTCAAACCACTTACTGTAACACTTAATATAGCCTGATTAATCAGTTCTTTGTAGAGTTTACTGGTGGCCTAATTGGTTGCATATTGTACTGTCAACAGAACAACAGTACAACTGAAAGGTCAACAGTTCGAATCCATCAGCCACACCAAGGAGGAAAGATGAACAGTGTCTCTCATAAAGATTTACATTCTTAGAAACTTACTCAGTTGGAGGCTTGCATTCAACTAACTGACAGTGTGGGCTTGGGTTTAATTGGTTATTTATTAAGTACTTGATTCAAAGTAAAACTTTGAAATGCATTTCCAGTTTTCCCAGAGAGGCTTCTTAGTTCTCCATGTAAATTTTATGTTTTCCTCTGTTGCCATACCCTAAAATAGTAGCTTATTCAGAGTTACACATCATTGTGAAGTTTTGTTAGTACTTTTGTTTGTTTGTTTGGAATAACAGAATCATGGAAACATCATTAGCATATTTTTTCTTGGTAAACCAGACCTTTTAATGGACAGTGAGGTTGAAATTTGGCAGTGCTATCTACTTGCTATGCATCAGAGAGCTGGACAGTGACTAAAGATGATAGAAGAAGAATCAATGCCTTTGAGTTGTGGTGCTGGAGAAGAGTATTGAACATATCATGGACCACCAAGAAAACTAATAGGTCTGTCTTGGAGAGAGTGAAAACAAAGTTTCTCCTTGGAGACTAGGATTTTGAAGCTCCATCTCACATACATTAGGCACACGGCAATGAGAGATCAGTCCTTGGAGAAGGACATCGTGCTCGGAAGGTTGGAGGGACACCGCAGGAGAGGAAGACCCTGGATGAGATAGATTGACACAATAACTGGGGCAGTGAGACTGGTTAGGGCAGGGTTCAGAGCTGTTTTATATAGAGTCGCTGTGACTCTAAGGCAACTCAGTGGCACAGAACAATGCACAACATCTCTTATCAAGATTGTTAACAGTTTTGACATACTCAGTTTCACAGTCATTACCCTTGGCACCAGCAGTCAGGAAACTAAAGACAAATTGCATTGAGGATGTCTGCTGTCAGGGACATCTCCAGAGTACTAAAGAGCAGGTTGTCAGTCTAGAAACTAAGGTGCACCTGATCTTCATGGTCTTCACAGTTACTTGCTATGCATCAGAAAGCTGGACAGTGAGTAAGGATGACAGAGAATTTGATGCCTTTGAGTTATAGTGCTGAAGAAGAGTACTGTACTTTCAATGGACTGCCAAAAGACAAAGCAGGTCTGTCCTTGAGAAAGTTAAGCCAAATTGCTCTTTGGAAGCAAGGATTTTGAAGCTCTGTCTGACATACTTTGGCCATGTTACCAGAAGGGACCAGTCCCTAGGGAAGGACATCATTCTTGAAAAGGTAGAGGGACAGTACAAGAGAGGAAGACCCTGTATGAGATGAAGCAAGTATGTCACAGTGAGACTGGTTCAGGTTAGAGCAAGTTTCAGAGCTAATGTACATAGGGTCACTATGTGTTGCTTCTGTGAGTCAACTCTGCAGCACATAACAACAGCTACATATATGGATATGAAAGAAAGGAAGATGTCAGTTACATCTGAAAAACTGATAGCCTTTGGGACTTTTGATGTACTCATCTTAAAAACTTAATTATTCAACCATTAGTAGATAGTAGTTAGATGTCATTGAATCAATTACAACTGTGTACCCTATGAACAACAAACCAAGACCTTACCCTGTCCTGTGTCAGCCTCATGATTTCCACCATGGCTCAAACCCATTTTTGTAGCTACTGTGTCAGTTCCTTTTCTTGAGGGTCTTCCTCTACTTTTCTCAGCATGATGTCTTTTTTTCCAAGGCCTAGGGCCTCCTGAGAACATATCTAAAGTCTGTGAGATGCAGTTTCACCCTTCTTGCCTTTAAGGAGCACTCTGGTTGTACTTTCTCGAAGACAGATTGGTTGTTTTGCCAGTGCATGATATATTCAGAGCTCTGAATATTGTCAACTCTACAATTTAAAGGCATCATTTATTCTGTCTTCTTTATTCATTATAAAGTCCTTTTTTATTTATTAATAAATTGTCGGGTAGCAGTTTCATCCATATATTGTTTTAAAATGCCCATATTGTTGTTAGATGCCATTGAATGTAACTTAGAAATCACATATATAAATGGTAATATGTACTGGAGTGTAGGTAGTTTGAAGAATACATCTTAGGAATTGGTAGTTCTCAATTTTGACAGTGCTAAAGAGTCATCAGGGAACTTGTAAAAGTGAAAATTCCCAGATCCCACTATTAGATGTTACTGTAGAGGAGTAGTCACCAGTCTGCATTTTTGCCAATATTCGCAGGCAATTTTGAATTTGACCACTATGTTTAGAAACACAGGCCTAAATGTTAGAAAATGCCCAGTTAGCAATCAAATAATACTATTTTTTGAACCAAGGTATTATTTATTTAGTATTAGATAAAACTCATTGGTTATAAAGTAAAAAATTAATAATATATTCTTCTATCTGTAGGCAAGAGCTCTTAGATCAGTAAATTTCTATAAATTAATAGCTCTACAATCTTAATGTTTAAAATATGTGAGTGATAGTGCCAGTAATAACTTTTTTCAGTAAAGTTCCAGAAGCCAAATAGTGATTTTTTTTGCTAATTAATTTTTTTAACTTTCCAGAAATTCTGTATAGATGGTACAGCAGTTTTTGAGCACAGTAATTAGTCTTTTTCTTAATTGTTAGCGCATAAAAGTCAGTGTGTTACCAAAAAAATTATTGTGGTCTAGTGTTAATCATTAGATCATCTAAGGGTTTTGCACAAAATAGATTTTTTTAAAAAAAACTTCATACCCAGGCTGATTAGTAAAAGGACCTCCTTGTTCCAAATTTCCATATTCCTTGTTCCATATTTGTATGTGAATAACAAAAGCTTCTTTACTAAAATTATTTTAAACAATCAGAATTGCTGGCAGAGGACATCCTCTTATTTTTACATTTAGATCATATTTATAATTTATGTAAGCAGTGAAAATGCCATTGGATTTTACTACAGACTCTGATTGAAACTTGGTGTAATCCAAGATTTCTCCACCCAGTACATTAAATCAGGCAGCCCCAAAGGGTCTTGGTAGTCCAGCGTTTATAACATCCTTTTTTACCTGCTAATCGACCTCACTTCCTGGATCTCAGTCTGTCTAGTTATCAGCTAACAAAAGAACAGCTTTGAGTTCCTGCAGACGCTGGTGAAAAAATAATCATGAGGAAGAAATCAACCTTATGCCGTCTTTTTTGTCTGCAAAAATAAACTAAGCCATCACACAGCTAACAGGTACAGAGAGAAGATTACACGCTTTTCCATGGGAAGAAATTACAGAGAAAATGAGCATCATTTCTCAGCGTTTTTATTTTCCCTGATCTACAAGTGATGCTGCTGTAATTCTAGCTGCAGTTTTTACCGATCATTCACCACTCAGCAGCTGGTAGAGAAGTAAGACTGCTTGGCAACCACCTGCAGGGCTGCAGAGATGAATTACATTTTCGGAAACAACACACTTCTGTACTCTCGCGCCAGTCGAGGAGGCAATACTAGCTCTAGCCATGGCTCTGTAGGCCCGAAGCAAAAACACTGGGCAAAAAAGGGCTCATCAGATGAACTGCAAGCTGAGCCAGAACCATCACGCTGGCAGCAGATAGTTGCGTTTTTCACTCGAAGACACAGCTTTATTGACTGCATCTCGGTAGCCACCAGCTCCACCCAGGTAACATACCACTTGTTGAAAAAATTTACAGTGTATTTCTGTTCACATTTGCCTTGCAAAAATGTCTTAGGAAGGGTTACTTATTATTAAAAAAATGTCGATTATCCAATGAAACCTTGGATGCGCAGAAATGTATGTTTTCAGTCTGTCTATGCAGTGCTTTAGCAAGGAGGGGGGGGAACGAAAAAAAAATATTTTCCCTTATGTTCTTATGTAATGCCAACCAAAACAGTTTCCGATTTTGTTGAATGATTTCTCTAAATATAAAGCTATTGATGGATATATTAAAATATACATTCTTAATACTTGCTTCCTTATTTTTCAGCTGTGTTAAATGTTATGTTATAAACTGGGATGCCTGACCAGAAAACAAACAAACAAAACAAAACCCCCAACCTGTTTAATTGTTTAGCTTTTCTGTGTCATTAGATAACCGTAGGGAGATCCTTTGAGTAAAGGAGCAGAAGATAATTAGAAATATTGTTTAGTATTTGAAGAGTAGACAGCATTAATACAGCTGGATAGTAATATGTTTATATTTCTATCTTAAAGTTAACAATAATTAAATTATTATTTTAAGGATTTAATTAACATTTCTTATATTTTCTAAGATTAATTTTAAAGTAGTAAACTTGTGTAATGAATATAGTCATGGAATTTTTTTCAAATAGTTAAATGACAGTTTAAAACCAGATGACAGTTTTTAGCACTCTTGAAGTCTCTAGATTTTGAAATAAAAGCCTTTCTTTTTGAGAAAATGAATATTGAAATAAAGAGAGAAGGGGGGGAAAAGGTTTACTACTTTGGGAGAAATACCTCTTGTTGGGAAGGTAAGAGAATATTAATATTAAAATACAGTTTTAGCATATATACATTATGCTTCCGTTAAAAACAGTGTAAGAATCAGTCCCTTTTTTTTTAAAGAATCAGTCCCATTTTAAAAAAGTGAAAGTGCTTTTATTTTTGACAGCTATACTATTTAAGCAAAAAAACCCCACGTAAATATTCCTTAGAACCTTTCAAAAACAAGTCTTTTTGAGTTGTTATTTTAAAGAAATAATTAGAAGCAGTAGAACAAACTGTAACTCAACTATTTCTTTGGTTTTAGTTAAGAATTGTCTTCTGGTAGTTGGTAATTGAAAACTAACTTTTTAAATGTTTTTTAAAGAAAAATGGAGTTATTCATAGATAATTATTTTTATGTTTGCACTTAGGTTACTTATAATCAGGTTACTAAGGACAGATGAAATAAACTCCAAGATTGCTACTGCTCTATGAATTTAACTGATTTATTTTTACTTTAATTAGCTATCTATAAAAGATGGAAGCACTAAGTTTCAGTGTGTATTCTTTATGTCATTGGAGACTATTTTGAAATAATGTTATCCATTATCAAGAAGCTACATATTTAACACACTTTATTTTTATATGTATACACATTACTTACTATACACACAAACAATTAAATTATTGCTATCAGGCTTTCGTTTCTAAATACTGTCTTATTAAGGTCATATAAATGCAAAGGCAGGAAAAGTAATTCATTTATAAAACTAGATTGGAATTACCATATAGCTACCTGGATTTTGAGCAAAATGTTGCTATCCTGTTGCATGAAAATAGTTTTAACAATGGCCTCTATTTATAATTGATCTAACAAAAGCTGTTTAAATTTCATTTTCTATCATTTGGCTCATATCCTTTCTGAATACTGATAAATAAGTTCACAGATGTCTTTCAGATATCTTTTTGATACTTGTCTTTTTCATTACCCTTGTATTCTATATTCATACAGACATAAGGTCAAAGGTTTTAGCTGTAATTTCTCCTGCTTTAGAATATCTGTGTCATTTTTCATTCTGTACCTTTCCCCCTAAATTATGAAAACTATACTCAATGCTGAATTGGATAGTTTATATATCCAAGTATTTGCTGTAAGTCACTAGGACTTATTCTACAGGATAAAATTTAATGGGCCAGAAAAAGAATTTTAGTCATATTTGGATCTTAATTGATGTTATGATATATTTTAGTTATTTTTAGCTACTAGCTCATGATTGACTACTTTGTTTTTTAGTAGCATCAAGAAGGATTTGTGCATTGTTAGAAAGAGACTAGATTAGTGAAACCTCATAGTAATTTATTGAGCATTTACTGCATATATGTGGATATGGGGTGCAAGTTATTCAGTGATTAAAAGCAAAAGTGATTTCCAGATGAATTTCAATATTGTCAGATAAATAAGTTCGTAAGATTTGAAAGCTAGATTATTTGTATGAGATGCTATTTTTGGCATATTGGAGAAATTTGATGAGAAATTTGTGAGGTGCCTGCATTTTTGCACAAGTCAAGAACTTCTATTCTTAATCAACACTTGAGCTGTTTTTACTGCTTATTACATTTACTTACTTCCTGGATACTCGGGTGCCTCAGTCCATAGAGAGTTGCACTCTTAACCCAATGGCCACACTATTCTGATGTTTTTTAGTTTACTGATGGCTTCAAGGGGAAAAGATGGACAGTCTCCTTCCCTGCAATTTACAGCCTCGGAAACCCATTAGAGGGTCAGTCCTTAATCCTTTTCGACTCAATAATAGTGAGTTTGAGGTTGGTACTGTTATTTAGATGACATTTTGGGCCAACTGTTAGGGCCCTCTCTAAAGTACTGAAGAGCAGCAGTGTGTCTCTGGAGACTAAGGTGCGCCTGATACAGGCCATGGTCTTTGCAATCTCTTGTTATGCATCAAAGAGCTGGACAGTGACCAGGGAGGATAGAAGGAGAATTGATGCTTTTGAGCTTTGGTGTTGGAGAAGAGTGCTGAGGGTACTATGGACTGCTAGGAAAACAAACAGATTCAACCTGGAGAGGGTTAAACCGGGCTGCTCCTTGGAGGCAAGTATTCTAAAACTTCGTCTGACATACTTTGGTCATGTTGTAAGGAGGGACTGGTCCTTGGAAAAGGACATCATGCTTGAGAGGGTGGAGGGACGGCGCAGAAGGGGAAGGCCCTCTGGGAGGTGGATTGATTCAGTGACTGGGGCAGTCGGGATGAGTGTGTCGGAGACAATGAGATTGGCACAGGACAGAGCAGAGTTTAGGGCTGTTGTACATTGGGTCGCTATGAGTCGCAAGCGGCTCGACAGCACCTAACAACAACAACAACAACTTTTATATCAGAATTTTAGAATTTTCTAAGAGGTAAAAATAGTTGTTCTGCCCTTGTTAGAAACAGTAGCCTAAAATTATCACCTTATTTGACAAACTTTAAATAAACTAACTCGTGATATTTTACAAGACTATGCAAATAATTTCACAATGATTGAACCAGTTTTACGGAAGAATAAACTAACTAGGAAACTATGAACAGTGAGATTTTAGGAGAAGCCTGACTATAATTTATGCTGCTCCTTAATTTAAGAAATGATTGTTTCCTGCTTCCTAGCAGCAGCAACAACAAAAGGTACCTTAAAAAAAAAAACCCAAATATGCCTTTATAGGCCCCAATTTAGCTCCATCATCTCACAAACATGAACCTTACCATTTCTGGTGCCATCCTCATTGTCTCTAATTAATAGTGACCCTATGAACAAAAGGCCTGAAGCCCCTCTACAACTACAACATTTATCAAAGTTCATAGAGATTCCAGAGGTATGGTGTTTAGGAACTGGATACTACTCCTACTTCCAAATCTGTAAAAGTTCATAGAGATTCCAGAGGTATGGTGTTTAGGAACTGGATGCTACTCCTACTTCCAAATCTGTCATAGTATGTTTTTGTTTTCATGTGCCATTTAGTCACCTGCGGTGTAGCAATCCTTTGTATAGTGCTCTGAACCCTTCCCTGTCTTGAGCCAGTCTCACTAACTCTGACACACCACCTCCATTGTCCCAGTTACTGTATCAGTCCATCTCATCTGGGGTCTCTCTCCTGCACTGTCCATCCACCCTTCTGAGCATGATGTCCTTCTCCAAGGACCAATCTCTCCTGGCCATGTGCCCAAAGTAAGTGAGGCAGCGCTTCAAAATCCTAGCCTCCAAGGAAAGACTTGGCTTCACCCTCTCCAAGACAGACCTGTTTGTTTTCTTAGCAGTCCATGGTATGTTCAAGACTCCAGCACCACAACTCAAAGGTATCTATTCTTCTTCTGTCATCCTTAGTCATTGTCAAACTCTCTGAAGCATACCAAGTTATTGAGAAATCCATGGCCTGGATTAGGCACACCTTTGTATCTAGACTGACATCATTCCTCTTCAGCACTCTGGAGCTGTTCATGACAGATTTACCCAATGCAGTTCGTCTTTTGATTTCCTGATTGCTGTTAAGAGTGCTGAGTGTGGATCTTGTGGATCTGAGCAAGCTGTAATTGTTAACACACTCAATCTCTTCTCCACTCAGTCTCTTCTCCATCTAATTTGGTGCTGCCAGTTGGCCCAGTGGTGAGAATCTTTGTCTTCTTGATGTTGAACTTGAACCCACATTGAAGACTATAGTCCTTTCCCTTTTGCAATGAGTGCTTCAGGTCCTCCTCAGTTTCAGCAAACAAGGTTGTGTCACCTGCTTATTGTATGTTTTTAATGAGTCTTGCTCCAATTCTGATACCACACTCCTCCTTACAAAGTCCTGCTTCCTGAATGAACTGCCCTGCGTACAGACTGAAAAGGTACAGGGACAGGATACAACCCTGACACACTCCTTTCCTGATTTTGAACTATGCAGTGTTTCCTTGCTCAGTTCTGAGGACTGGTTGTTGGTCCAACTACAGGTTTTGTATAAGAACAATTAAGTGCTCTCAGATTCCCATTTTCCTCAAGGTTATCCACAATTAATTGTGATCCACACAGTCAGATGCCATTGCAGTCAATGAAACACAGACATTCTTCTTCCACTCTCTGCTTTCTGCCAAGATCCATCTGACATTGGCAGTAAGGTCCCTAATGCCATGACCTCTCTTCTAAACCCTGCCAATATTATGGTAATTCTCCCCAGAAATACCAGCTTG